ATTAACGAAAAAATTGCGATCAAATACACATTTTCTGGAATCCAATAGGTTGTTTAAAGTAGTACCTGTTGGTACAAGCAAAGCAGTGTATTTACATACTAATCGTGCCGCCCTATAGACTGCCAACACTGGGCGTAGATTGGCCTGGGTTTGCCCCACTCCCTCCCCTCACACATCTATAAGCCACTGACTCTTCAATGGGATGACAAATACAACTCATAAGGAGGGCAGAGTTGAAACCAAATGTGGCGCCGAGCTACAAAACTTATCCTATGTTGAGTTTAAACAGAGAGACGATGAAAACGACACAAATTGTGATAATCCAATTGCTTCTCGTTAATATGTCCCCCAGCTAGCGAGAACACAAGAGGGTTTACTTCCCGGTGTCTGTCTTGACAAGCGACTTGTGGCTTTCTGGCTAGCTCACAACGCAACCGAGGCTAACTCAAATATAAGTGGCTAAATAAAGACTAACGCTAATGTCATACATGTGCATTGTGTGGCTGACTCTGGCAACTACAGTTACATCTCCAAAACGTCATGTTTGTCCAAAACAAGTTGAGCTAACTCGCCGGACAACAAGTGTGTTACCTTCCTGGCGTTGCGACAAGTTAGCTTTCGTAGCGGGCTAAATTAGCAGCTAAGCTAAAAGATCCCATTGCCACCATCTTTCAGTTGGCAGGATGCACAAGCGCCAAGACACTCGGACGTACCTTTAACCTTTCCAAATGTCCCCACTCCGAGCGTGTCTCCGAGAATGTAATGTCCAATTTTAACTCTTCCTTCATGTTTCGTTTTTTCCGTCGCCATCTTCCCGCAGTGGCCTTGCTGCGGGGTTAGCTAACGTTAGCTGCGGGCAGAGATGGACTGAGCTCCGCTGTGTGCGTCTCTACTCTAGCGGCTCTGTTCGGTGCGGAGAGTGGGAGGCGCCCCGGCTCCTGCGCGGTACGTCAAAAGCGTAGCGTCGACGTAGAATGTTGCCTTCAAATGCTCCCAGTAAACTTATAAATCAGGGTGTGATTATTAACTTCTCGTACATTAAACTTGTTTTTGCCTTGAAGATATTAGGTATGAGGTTATTTTCAAATTAAGGTAAAATAATGAACGTGCGTTAGACATATATGTATACATGAATGTGAAATAAAAGTAAAGACAAAACTAGTTTTGAGAAAAGAGACATGGAACAGAATGTCTGTAGCAAACATGACCAAATGCAATAAAAGGTAACATTAATTATTTACAGAGAAAGCTACAACAGCACTATGGAAAGTGTGATCAACTCAGCTCTGTAGTATATGGGCCATTTCTTCTCAGTCAGATAAACCTTATCTAAGAACCAGCATAGAAAAGTAGCCCTTAAGTGGTAGAATACCTTGTGGGTTACAGACAGGGAGTTACATGTCTCTTCTAGCATTTAATACTTCTATAATTTACTTTGAATTTCATGAGAAGGTCATTCTGTGGTCACACAGTGTGGCTCAATTTTGAATATGTGCCACGCCCAAGCATTACCAAGCACCAAAAATCTTGTTTACATAGTTTCCTAAATTCTTCCCAGGCTGGTCCCTGAATAAGTGTTTATCTATAACAGGATATGATAAGATTATTTTCAATCATGTTGAACTAGTGGAATTTAACTTCAACATCACTGCAATGTGCTCAAACCCCTGTAAAATCACTGTTTACTGTGTGTGCAGCTCTTCTCAAACTAATCTGTTCTGATTTTTTTAACAAACAGAACAACCAGACCAAACCAAAGGTGTTTGTTTAAGTCTATTTAATACTGAAGGTGCTTGATCAGGGCTAGACTATGAACACATGTCTCAACAAGGCCCAAATGAGAAGCAACAAATGTAATTGCATGTTGGGGCACATTGTTCTACCTCCTATTTGTTCTCATTACTCCATGAATTTGCTTTATTGTTTGGTTATAAGACTATGCAAATTGACTTTTGTATACATATATAGTTGCTGTCCAACTTAGTGTGAAGGTGGCTTGACAGCAGAGCTGTAGCTCTGTATGTGTCTAGAATAAAGCAGGCAAACTCTGTTAAAAAATTACATTTCATACTGCACCAAATTGCTAATGGCTGCAAGGAATCTCAAAAATCCTCTCAATGGATCTTGATCAATAAAATCTCTTTTCATTGTGGGATTTTTTTGTGTTCATTGTGTTATGTAATTCTTTGCTCCTACTACTTGGTTCTGCAACTTGATGATTTTGTGAAGGCATTTTAGGGTATAATTCATCAGTTGGACATGCATTTCGTCTTGTTACACTATTCTGTTCTGCTTTGGGCAACTATTCAAACGTTGGAAATGCAAATTAAATCGAACATTTGGCCAGATTAGCCTCCAGAGACTGAGTATTGCATTACTTTAGTATTCATGAGAACAGGATTTAAAGGAAATTTAGGTTGTTTAAGTTATTACATGGACAGAAAAGGCTGAATTAAATTAGGCCTAACTATTTATGAGAGGAATATGTAACTAATAGTTTATATCCTTGTGATGGCATTTCATATGTAATTTACACACCTGTAATCTCCTATATGATCTACAGGAAATTGTAATGTCAAATTACTGTCTAATTTTTTAATTGAATGTCTTGCTGAGACAGAAGCAAATCTTCTCTGACGCATGAGACAGATGTGAACTCCCTAAAGGCCTCTTGTGTTCGCTTGCAGATCTTGCATATGTGACGTGTTCCTGTTTATTGCTGTCTCAGTTGATCTCCATCTCCAGAATTAGTAAGTCAGTGGCAGCTGAACCTTGCTGTGTAGTCTCAATGGTGTTTCTCGATTCTGAACAGAGCCACTTACTGTATCTCAAGACCTGGAAGACTGAGAATCCTCATAGACACATTGTGAATAACAATCAGCTCATCAAGGATGTGAAGAGCTGCTCAGTGACAGAAATGGATGAGCAAACACCCTCAGAGCATCTCAAATCATACCCCAAAGCACAGCAAGGCAAAACATAATGTGCCTCAAAGGATATCCTAAATAACTGTAAAAATCTTTATGCTTTTTGCAGACCAGAAGTATAACTCAAAGTACAGGCTGAACAAATACAGGCTTCACACCGATTAATAAGGAAAGAATGGCCTGGTGAACAGTTACCATGACTCCCCAGAGAGGTCTGGTGGGAATTAACAGTTAGTACCAAAAGTCGTTGTCAGAAACACTTGGTGGACGTTTGTGTTTGTGTGTGTGTGTGTGTGTGTGTGTGTGTGTGTGTGTGTGTGTGTGTGTGTGTGTGTTGTGTGTTTGTGTATTTTCTCCACTGTCTGTATGTGCTTTGAGATTAAAACTGATTAAATTAACATTTTTATACATAGTTTGCCCATTTTAGGACACAGGAAGTCCTGTGACGGTGCATACTGTAGTCAGGTGTGTTTTCACTCTTATTCATCATGTGGAAATTTAAGGAATGAGGGACCAGTACATGTCTGTGCAGAAAATGTGTTTCTATGTCTTCACGTCTTCACACATTTTAACAGCCCAGCTCTAATCAGAAACCTACAGATGTGGTCACCCAAAGCCTTCTCAGTGGTGACCTCTTGTGGTTGCTTGACAATCTTGCCAGAGCAATGAGGTTCTTGTAAGCTCTTCTTGTTCTCATTCAGCGTATCCAAGCTTTGCATATTTAAAGTGACTGTATATAATCTGCTATCCTTGTACAGAGGTTGTTGTTGTTTTTTTTTGCATTTCCCTGTAGGAATTAGAGAAAGGCAAAGCAGACTGAGCTAAAAAATAAAATCCCATAATGCATCTGAATAGTGTCTTTCACCCTTACTGCATCCTAAGTGCTCACTATTTTTAAACTCCATATCTCCAGTCCCCCGAATGCAGGCTTTCTGTGAAGAAACTTGAGTCTTTCCCCAAACTGAGATAACCTTAATAACATCATCAGGGTTGTTTATTCAAGAGCTGGAAAATGCCCTCCAGAACAACAAAACCCAAGTGTTTATAAACCACTCTTTGAGAATAAATATGTCCTTATTTCTCAAAAGGCATGTATAATCTGAGCCACAGATTGTGCACTCTTATCTGGGGTTTGTAAATGGTGCTCAATTATACTTGACATTTGCTGCTGCTTGTACTTAACATTATAATTGTATTGCCTGCTGATAATGATCTAAATTAAGCCCCACAGCACTACAGATTAGAGCAATCCATGAAAAATCTAAAAAAAATGTGATATCAAGGTATCACACTTTTCTATTAAAATATAATCTTTATTATTAAATCTGGGGCGTTCGTGTTACTAATGGAGACAACGTGGTTTCTTGTTTTTAATGAATCCATTTGAGGTAGTTGTTGAGCATGCTATCATTTTCTTACCAGTCAAATATCTCACTGAGTGACCAGTAGATGGCAGTGTCTATGCAAGAGAGCAGATAATGAGGACGATGATGTCCTGCCCTGGGATGCACAGCAGTGGTGCATTCATTATTCCCATGACAGTGACTGACCATTAATTACTATCATTGCATAATGATACAGCTTTTGAGTACTGGTCTTGACTCAGCAGTAACTAGCAAGATAAATAAAAGCAAGTGAGTCTATGATTAAGGCTAATTATGTATACAGTATACTAAAACTTCTAAACACATAGTTGAACCAAACAGACTGAGACACAACATGTGATTTGATAAAGTACATTAAATACAACACAAAACACAGTGGATAATGGCAGACCTAACACGAACCCCAGGGGTTAGTGTCATCAAAATTAGCTGGAGTTTTAATATTTCCTTACACGGCAATCTGAGCACCGTCCAGCTCGTTATTTCTGTGCCTACATAAGCTTCTGGCAGTTTATTACATGCAACAGTGATTATCATTTTAATTACAGAGGTGCTTATTATAATCCTACTGGATCCGCCTGCTAGCATGCTTATTAAAGCATTGCTCACACTATTCCACACCCCATCTTCCAGTGAAATGCAATATGAATGGTCTTTACGTACAACATCAAATGAGTTCAAGCAGCTATTTACTTTTTCATGAAAACATTTTATTGCTCAAGAGTATGTATGTATACAGCTGCACATACATTAAGCAACATGGAAAAAGAAGATGGGAAAAATATGAAATGAAAGCATTATTACAATGAAACAAAGATTCCCACACACAGTTATATCTCCATTTGAGAACGAACTGGAAGATGAATCTTTCAGCACTGACGGCAAAAGATGTGTTATAATGTGACCCGTAGCCTGATGGACAGCTAATATTTATGACTGTGGAGTTCTTTGTAACCTTTGTCAGCTTTCAGCGTACAAGGAAAAGCATTACTGCATTTATGGTTAAAGGTCCCTCTCAGTGTAGTATGTCGTCTCCTGCTATAAACACAATAGTGGAAATGTGTTCCAAACAAACACAGGTTGACTAGTGAACTACCATTTAACCACAATTAAACAGTACACTCTGCCAATTAAAACCTGTTCAACTCGTAATCTTTCACCCAAACAAGATCTCCATTACAGCAATAAAACAATTCAAAACTTAACCAGGCCAGTGTAAGAAGAATTTTAATTCCTTTGGTGTCGGCAAACAATGTGCATCTTAACAACATTAAAAGATGTAATGTACCCATCAGGTATCAACATAATAGTTTAAAACATGTTAAGTGGGTTAAAAATATTACAAGTACCAAATTCACAGTAAATTGTGTGAGATACAGGAAAATTTAAACTGGAGGGACAAACACTGAGGCACAAAATACAGAATTCACAGGACAATGAACCCGGTTAAATAGAAAGGGATGGCTGGCTGGTGAAAAAAATATGGGGGAGAAAGTAAAATCCAAGACAAAGAGAAATTAATACCACACATATGAATTGCAAGACAAGTATGGATTAACCTAAACAGCTTTTTTAAAAATCACTCAATAAACAGGTTAAACACTTGCTGTGACGTAAAAAAATAATTGTAAGAGAAGGGAAAACAAACTACATTTAAAAATACACTCACTCAGAATGTTGTGGAAACACCATATCAATATAATTCAAACATCATTAAAACTATCTTACCAAATAACAAAGAACATTATTTCATGGATTTCTGGAATTAGTGAGCTGAGAGGACTGCTTGAACTGAACACTGTGCACTCCCTCCATTTTCAATCTGTGTTTAAGCTCTACAGTATCTGCATGTTGAGGCACTTGGAAAGAATATGATTGTACTGTGTGTAGTATATTATGTACATTTGTTGAGTTTGTGTGCCTGTAAATCACACTCCTTCCAAAACTAACATGTGCTTAACCTTACAGATCTAAAACTGAGTCGGATTTACTATTCCTTAAGCCCCATACTGAAACTGAAAGCCCCATGGTCAACATGATCTCTTATTCTTGTCTAGTGTGAGTGAGTATTACATAGCAGTACAGTCATCTACGAAAAATGTAAATGTTTTTCAGATCGTGAGGCGGCCATGATAACCTAGTTACTGATTCCAGATCAGTATTCCGACCCAGAGGAAATGGGCTGGGCCTGTAATCTCTGGCACCTGATCTAAAGCGAGACACTGACCAAGATTAGCCTGGCGGGAATCCATCCAAGACCACTGAGGACAGTGCAAAAATGAGTTGGAAAAACTGCTTCTTTTCCTTGTGCTTCTCCGAAAGCATCCTACTCTCACATTAGAATGAATGTGTCCCAAAAAAAAAAAAAAAAAAAACGAAACAAAGGAAGGAAAAACATCTTCCCTTAAAACATAACCATGAAACATTTACTACAAAATTTAATTTCTCAAGCAGATTAACAACTATCAATGCTACATTTTAATTAGGGAAAAAAATAAAAATAAAAAAAGATGAAGGATAATATTCACAGTCAAACATCATTTAGTGAGTTGGGGGCTCAGTCTTCCAAATGACAGACACCTTGCACACACCGTATATCACAAAATAACATCCTTAATCACTGGTCCCACACTAATACAACACTCCACATGTTAAGAGAACGACTCAATTTTCACGCAACCACGGATGGTCCCTCTGCTCCACTAGCAGTCCGGAGGCTGACGTCTACACTTAAGGCAGGCTAGCAATGTCCCGTTTTGGAGGGGGTCCTTCTGGCTTGCAGGGAGAGCCGTTGGCTTTGTCCTCAAAGATCAAGACTCTGTGGAGAGAGAGGCATTATGGTTATCATAAAGAGGCATCATTATGTCAAAGTCATTGGCAGTGGCACTGGATTTTTTATAGCTATACCAATAAATCAATATCAGCTCCAATACACAGTTCATAAAGAATTTGTTATTTGATTGTGATCAACAAGAGAATGCACAGGGACTTGTGTTCAAAACCTGGATGGAGAGCTGCTGTTGAATATTTGGAGCAGCACTGCTAGGTGGTTGCTAAGGTGTTGCTAGGTGGTTGCGGCAGGCCCGTGCTAAGTTTCTGTCTCCCGGTTCTGGGGGGTTTGTCGGGGGCACTATGGGGTGTATGAGTTGGTTCTTTTATGGTAAGTCTGATTGGATACTAGGGCAGACTTCATGGTTGCTGTGGTGTCTTTGGGCTGTAGCAGTGACGCCGGCTGATGTGACCAATGAAATCACCCTGTGTGACAACTGGACAGCAAGCACACTGTAATCAAATGTGGTTATATAGTACTAATCCACTAATCAGTTCAACCGAAATCAGTTTAGACATTCATATATCGAGACTTGGTTTGACGGCTTCAGCACCACGGAGAGAGGCAGGAAAAAAAAATGTAAATATAAATAAGGGAGAAAGAAGGTAGTATTAGAAGAGGTAAATAAGAAAAGTATAAACAATACAAGCAGGGTGTGTGAGTGAGGAGGGATAATTTAGCTCCTGGCGGATACAAAAGGCCACAGTTACAGTTGGGGTATGAACTGACTGAGCAGCAAGTGAAAGGAAAGGAATGAAGGGAAACCACAAAGGGACTGCGGGGAATAGTGGTTTAGGCTGTACACAGTAGAGTGAGCAATCTGACAGGAGCTATTCAGAGCGAATGCCTGTCTTTAATTTCCTTTTTTGGAAAACTCTGCAAAGCTCCACTAAGCCCATAAGGAGCAATGATCCCAACGACGAAACCGGCACTTCTCTCTGGCAATCGCTCTCACCCCCCCCCTTCCTTCACACTGCTTATACCTCCTTCTCTGCAACCAAAAAAGCTGCATGCAGTCGGTCAGGTCACTGCCCACAGTCAACGGTCGACTACTGATTCAATGATGAATCCAATAACGAGGTAAATATTTCAATAAGTCAATAAATTATACATTGTGTATATGTGAATTAAATCTTTCTGGCTGTGTCTCTATTAATACAAAAATATTAATACATTGTTAATTACTATGTATGATTTTCACATATTGCCATGTTAGCCTAATCAGCTCTATGTTGACAGAAGAGCTTATTAGATAAAGTGACCAGCTGACTTAATCTTGTTATTGTGTGCATACCATAGATTGTACAGGTTAAACATATAGTTGCTCTATACTGCAGATTGTACATTTACATTGTACAACATTTTTTGATGGGGATCTTTTTTTATTTTGTTTTGTGTAAAGCCTAAAAGCAACAGTTTTGTAGTCAAGATCCCTCAGAGCTGTTTCTTATAAAACCTAAAATCTGTAAGGCTCGTCTGTCATTAAAACTCTTGGTAAAACAAACTATAGTGACTTTGATAGTGACTTTATTCAAAAGAGCTTTCACAAACTAGGCCCAACTGTGGAGCCTGACCTCAATCATTTTTCTCTAATTGCAACAAAATCAATTGTTGCCCTGCTAAAAGCTTGGAATAACACTATTCTAAAGCCGTTTGGTACCCCCAACCTGCCCCCTCCCCTCTCCCCTCTCTAGAGACAAAAACAGCAGCACACAACAGAGGCGTTGTAGGCCTTTGAGTGAGGAGCGGTAGGCTGCCAGCTGGAGTTAAAAAGGCAAAGAAACAGCAAGATACTCAGCAGCGTGTAGGTAGATGAACCTACATGTTGTTTCCCTTTTTAATCAGAACAAGGAATATGCATACACTACAAAATGTCAGTAGTCAATAGAAGCTCTCTCAAATGAAAACGCCTTGACGTTTATAAATTTGTTGACATTCTTGCAATGTTCTGCACAGTTGAGCTTAAGATTTCACAAGAGGGAACCAAATCCTTCATCCAAAAACCGATCCAAAATGTGTGTAGTAAAATAAACCTGAGATTTCAACATCTGTTGAAATGTCTGGAATACGGAGGCTAACTAGAATGCTAACAAGTGGACAAGTGCGGCTGGGAGGGAATGAGACATTTATAAATAGCGGCTGGGGGATTATGGGATACACTTTTGAAAAACGGTTGAGGGCAAAGGAGGAAAAGTTATGCATTTTTCTCTGCTTGGTGTTTTCGGGATTATGTGATTTGTCTACTAAAGGGTCCAGCCAGCTTAGTCCAGCAGAGCTGACATGCAGCAGCCAATACACTCTCAGCCCGCTGCAAGGCTGCTTTAAAAGGCTTACACTGCTTACACTAACCCTTAACCCTCAAAATGGCAGGAAATATATCACCTTATCCACCAGGGACCATTGGAATAAATTATATAATTTAGAAAGAAATATTTTCCACTGCAAAAGAGGAACTTTGTTGATGGAATTTGATGAGTTTTTAGTGTTTTTGTGAGTCCTGCAACACTGTCAGTGGTTAATCAGCCTATCGTCAGTGACCTAAGCACATGATCCCAGTTAAGGATAAGGATGGGTTGACTATGGATAGGCTACATAGATGGGTTTTGTTGCCATGGAGATTAACGACTAACGCAGCATGTGGGTGAATGACATCATCGCTAGTCATCCCAGAACCCCCTGCTGACGGATCAAACTATTGGCTGACACAGCACAGGATTCATATCCTCCCTCTCAGGGATGTGTCAAACACACGGTGAACCGGCAGACGGTTTATGGACACAACTAACTCTGCATATGTGAAAACGGTCTGTATTCTTTTTATACAAAACACACACACACACTCACACACACACACACACACACACACACACACACACACACACACACACAAAAGGTTAACTTACAGTTTGAGCACAGCTGAGCGCTTTCCGAGCATCATCTTGACAAAGTCCCTGTAGTTGATAGTGTTGCTGCTGCCACCCGTCACCTCAACGATCATCTTTTTCAACTCCAAGTGGGTCTTGGGCACCCCCAGCTTCTCCATCATTCGCTTCAGACCCATCATTTCTGAAAGAAGGAACAGTTGACAAACTTAGCTTAGGTGAAACAATGCAAATCCTCTTTATGTATGTATCAGACTCAAAGTTTGCATTTCTAACAAAAATGAGGTTGTGAGCACACTGGAACTTGATGCTTAAATCCATTAATCCTAAGCATTTTAAAGGCTTACTTACTATAACAATTTCATAAGAGCTGTATAACGTCTGGCTCTGGAGGGAGAAAACCCACCTACGGACCTAAAATGTTTAGCCTGCATTACATACTGGAGGTGTGGGGTTTGAAAGACAGGACCATTTAGGAGACAGTCCAGATGAAAGATGCAGGATTCAGTGTGTTCGGAGCTTGTCCCATACAAAGGAGTAACAATTCTATTTTGGTCTTTTTTTTTTTTTTTAAATCTGTTTCTTTTGAGTTTCCCTAACTTTACAGAAGTGTAACACTAAATCACCTCTTCACAAAAGGCCTTTAGAAAATATAAATGAACTCTGGACATTGTCCAGGTGGCTCCTATTTTTCTAGTGTTTGACTTTAAAGCAACTGATGGAGTGGAATGGAATATCCTTCAATGAAGACATTTATGTATGTATAGTTAGGAAATATAGGTAGCAAAACAAGACTCTAAGAGTCTAAAGAGATAAAAGCACTAGATGAAAAGTCACCAAAGTCACCAAAAGACAAAAATTCATCCTCCACCATCCTCATCCAGCATGGATATCTGTACCAAATTCTATGGCGATCCTTTGAGCAGTTGCTGAGAGATTTCACACCGGATTATAGTGGTGGACCAAGCAACTGACACTGCCAGCGCAAGAGCTACACTGCTAACAAGGCTACAAAAACAGTTGTCATATGGGACGTTTAGCAGCTTTTTTTTAAAAATTTTTTTTAGGACCTGCAAACAGATGCTATATATGCTGTCTGACTCTCACAGACTACAGTTCGCCTCACATCTGCTCAAAAACTAAAAGACCATTCACACTGGTGCACAGTTTGGTGTCACTTTACATGCAAAACACAAACATGACACATGAGCCCGTTCAATCCCTGTGCTCACACTGGTCGGACAACACACGCACAGTATTAATTACTGTTTGTTCGCTCATGTCGACACTTTGCATGCATCAGCTGACAGTTAGTTTTGTGAGGTGCAGTTGGTGTTTTAGCGCTACTATTACTCACCAATCTCTCCTTGGTCATTCAGGTCAAACTCCGAATATTTATCTGCAAAACAAACACACACACACACACACAAGAGATATAAGAGATTATTACTAACAGTGGTAATTCATTCTCAGCTCACACACCACATCCCCCGTGTGCAACATTTTTAACAAACAACAGTCCCCGGCTGGCATCTTATATGTCAGCAAAACTGTTGCCACACGCTGTCTGCGATCTCATTGTCTTACACTCTGCTGGCAGCTGACTTGGCAAAAGGAAAGACACAAACAGCTGATAATGACAGGTGTGTTTTGTGTGTGTGTGTGTGTGTGTGTGTGTGTGTGTGTGTGTGTGTTTGGATTTCTGTCAGTGGGCGGCAGGCAAAGGGCAGCTGAGTGGGGTTGACATGTGAGACAGATTGGAGAGTGAGAGGGTCAGTAAGTTAAAAGGGAACTTAACTTAGAAATATAAAGATGTGTGGGCTGAAGAAATGTGAAGATTAGGTACATCAGTTAAATCTGATTCTTCTAGCCTGACAACATGCAGACAAACCTGGAATAGGTTTCCAACATACAGGCCACGCATATATTCATGAAGCTTAAATGAATAGTTTGTTAAATATGCTCCGCTCTCTTTCTTTCTGAGGGTACCACTCTCAACTCTGTCCGATAAAGTTCAGTTATAAAATCCTGGCGCACAGGGGAGCATCTTCCTGGATGGCTGCTGATAGCTATGTCAGCTGAACAGTCAATCACACTAAACAGTACAGGCGGTTGTACCAGCGACTGGCTCAGAAGTACTTTGGCTGAAATCAGACCTGAGAGTGTCTCGCCCTCCATTGTTAGTTAGTTAGTTTTGTAGTTTGGTCATTTAAAGTGGGGTTATAAAGGTTTGAAGCTGACATGCTGTTATCCTCACACAATGATCTAACGGACAAACTGCAAGTTGACTAAGGGGGCTTATGCACTGTTTAGGGTGCAGCCATAGTAAATATTAACTACAGCATTCTCATTCACATCCAGATCAACTGAAGTTGCTGCAGACATTTTCCCCGCTTCTCCCTAAATTTCACCATCCTCTTTTGTCCAGACGACCACTTTAGTCAGATTACACTAACTATTTCTGTCCCACACTGGAAGCTTTGTGTGTCTGTGTGTGTGTGTGTGTGTGTGTGTGTTGGGAGGGGGAGAGAGAACTGTGTTAACTGTGTGAACCCATGGAGAGTGGGACAGGACAATGCTAACCCTGTTTGTTACTCTGAGGAGTGGGCCTCCACACACACACACACACACACACACACACACACACACAGACACACACACAGACACACACACACACACACACACACACACACACACAGACACACACACACACACACACAGACACACACACACACACACACACAGACACACACACAGAGCCGTTCTTGAGTGGGCCACTTGTCGTAGAGCAGCCTGTTGATCATCTGCAGCAACAGAAAATGGCTCGACTGAACAAAACTTAAGTCTTCAGTGAATCCTCCTGAGCTACATTTCCTCAGCAACTGATGTGACAAAAATGACCATCAGCTTATGAACCGCTAGTCATTTTCTGATATCTGTGATTTAAGTTGGATTTAACTGGAGTAGTTTGATGTTGAGTTTGTCTACCACTCTCTTTGGCAGCTAACACTTGAAGGGGCTTTCCAGTGTAAAAGGAAATAACTGAAAATAAATGCTGATAAAATAATTTAAATGGATGATGACTTCCTCTGCTATTTTGGCCAACAGATTAACAAAGAATTTCCCCCTCCCTTTAAAAGACAGTAACCCCGGAGGGCAGATAAACGCTTTGGTACCGCAGGCTTCTGTTGACTCTAAAAACAACTTCTTTGCTGTTATCTCTCTGTAATATGTGTAGTCTTGTGTAGAAAGTTCTAAGATGTGTGAGAAATTATAATACTGTATGAAAACATGGCACAGATATAGTGAGCTGTAGTCATTTGGCAACTACAAACCACACAGGAACCAATGCATGAAACAACACAATTCTACTGAAATGGTCTTATTTATGTCAGCCATTATAGCATGCAGTGAACACTGATTTAACACTGGCATACGGAGGTAAATATTCCTCATGTAAGTCCTCTCACTCCAAACCTTCCATTAAAAAAACATAAAATCACACACATTTTCATTAACTTTTAAGAACTGATGTCCTCTGGGTTCTGGCAAAGGAACTGGCTAGTGGAGGTGATAAGGAGCACCCATGGCAATAACAGCTCTTGATGATAAACTCCAGCTTGAAAATATGAACTTTAAACTCACTTTAAACTGACTACTGTGTAATAAGTGTCCAACTAGTGATTATCAGACCAGATACCCTCAGACCTGCAGTGAGATTTTCTTCAAACATCAGCCCTTGTTTGTGACTAATTGGGTTGTTTGTCTCTGTTTTTTTTACTATCATGCAAAAAACGCAATGTTCCCCGCTGTGCTGATGTGCTGCTCTAATAAAATGCTGTGTGATTGATCAATCACCTGCTGAGCTGAACTAAACTGAACTGCTGGCATCATGGCTACAAAGCCACCATCGCTGACAGTTACATAAAGTCTAATATTAACACGAATACAGTCAATACAGCTCATTTAAATAGAGGCGCTTTATATTGTTTGTTTGTATCTTGTTGCACTTGTTAACAAACCACTGCAAATTTGTAACAATACAGAGGCAATTTAGGATATTTATCCAGTGTGATTACAAGATGAGCAGCAGAATAAAGGGAGGTTTTCCCGTGCCTAATGCTACATTTCGTAAAAACTGATGAATTACTTCTGACGTTAGTCGAGGCTCTCCTCATTTCAGGTGAGGTGGGACGCCTCCACTATTTCACCCTGCATCTCAGTGTAATTGTGACAGTTTACGAGGTGTATATACTCTTTAAAAGATTCTTGTTTTGACGGTTGTTTTAGTGACAACAACACGTCATTTGCACTTTATTGATATTCTATATTTGCAATCTCTTACTTTGTATCAACTTTCCTTGAGATAAATTAGAATCAGTGATATAAAACAAAGAAAATTATAATTAGATTAATCAAATTAACCAAAAGTGATGTACAAAATAGTTGCTGCAGCCTTCTTATAACCGTTAAAGTAGGCTATGTTTAAAAATGTTTTTGGTCATGAGTTGCACTGATGCGATTTGGTTGGTGGTTCACAGCACAGTGTTTAGATCCCGACCTCTGGGTCACTGGGACAGTATGGAAAGAAAAGGGAGAAGATAGAAAAAAAAAAAAAAAACAGCAACCCTCTCAGGACCTGGGTGTCAGGTCCCCTTTCTGTTTATATATTACTGCTCCATTTCCTCCAGCAAGCAGAGATTGTATGTAGGACGCTGGAGCATGTTTCTCATTTCAAGACATATGCCCCCATATTAAATAAACAGCCTTAGGTTATTCTGTCTGGAAAACCGCAGATAAAAAACCTTGACGGAAAGAGATAACAAAATACCCTACATGCACATAGAGCATACATCTGTGAGATCTGAGCAGTGGGGTGGAGTTCTTTGATAAATCACGCAGTTTTGTTCATGTAATTAGCTCCAAGCTGCAGCCTTTCTTCTATTCCCAGGAGCTATGAATTTACCCAGCAAAGTTCTGAATATTGTAACAACAAGCGGAGGAACGCCCCAGCACATTCCTTAAAGGCCACTGAGGACTTGGCCTTGCAAACCTCTTAGAAATCACAGCGGTCCGTCTTTCCCACAGAGAAAAACAAAATACTGAAGACTTTTGTGTGTTTTTGTGTGCAGACTGCCAACAAACAAACAAATATTGAGGCTAAGACAAAAGCCGGGAAAAAGGAACACGGCCTCACAAAGAGGGCTGCATACTTGTAGATACTAAAACTACTGAGGGAGAGGCTTTGCTTACTTTTGAGGCCTTCCAGTTTTTCCGCCAGGTCTTCTTCATCCCTGTATTTCTGGTCTTCCAGGTATTCCTTAAAAAAAGAGGAAGAGGGGGTGAACAAATGGAAAGTGATCAGATAAAACCGGTTTTACAAGTTTAACTAAAACTGAAACCCCTTAATGGGCCCATTTCGAAACTTCGCTGTGAAACTTCCTGCTGTATTATACAATGTAGAATTAAAAAGGAAAGAGGCCCACGCACAAATTAGAGCATAAAGTACACTGTGCTCTGTCAAATGTGTCAAAAATGTCCAACTTGAGAGCGATGACTCACAATCTTAAGACGTTCTTCCCCCTGGATAGTCATTACTTATCACAGTGTTCATTAAGTGGAACACCTCACAAGGGTGTAAAGGAAAAAAAAAAAAAGCCTGAAGGGAGCTATTCTAATGAAATTATAATGACGCAATCTGCCATGTGGGAGTCTTCAATCGGCGCGGAAGGAAGAGAGGGAGCGAGAGACAGAGAGGGAGGTTGTTCTCTACGTTGACCTCTGTGTGTCCGTCAGCCTCGTAATTAAGGGTGAAGAGGATAAACACCACGACTGCATGTTTATCAGGGATGCCTGACTCAGCCCTGCTGAATCACTGCTGCAACACCCCCACACTCCCCCCACAACCACACACACACACACACACACACACACACACAGGAAATCTCTATTGTTATTATCTCTACAGAGAAGGTTTCACAATGCAGAGGTCAAATACAGAGTGTACCAACCCTCCTCCAGGTGAAGATTCAGATTTTGTAAGTGTTAGAGGAGTTCAACTAACAAATTCTTTCCATTGATTGTTTGGTCCATAATAGGGTTGCAATGCTTATTTTCATTATTGATTAATAATCTAATTCTAATCTAATCCCAAAGGCCAAAGTGATGTCCTTACATGTCTTGCTTTGTCCACAAAAACAAAGACAAACAAACAAAGTTTACAATCATCGAGTTGAAAACAGAGAATTTGGATGTTTCTTCTTTAAAAAATGACCTAAAACGATCAATCGATTATCAAAATAGTAATCAACTACTCGACCTAAAAAAACCTAATGATATTCTGTTAATATGCAAAATTTTAATAAATGTAATTCACATTAGAAAAGTTGGAACCAAGGAATTTTTTGCCTAAAAAAAAACAAAACAGATTACAGATCAATAGACTAACCGATTATTCGATTCATCATTGCAGCTCAACATTATTTATGTGATGAGCTTTTCATACATGAGTAACCACCCGAGATACACAACAGTGATAAGATGTGACAGATCACCCACGTTAATGTGACAGAATGGGAGTAAATGTATATATATTTAAAAAAAACAACTTGGATTTAATCACAGTACAACAGTTATTTTTAGCCTCATAGGAATCCGGAGTCACTTCTCTAATGAGGAAACGAAGGATATTAAAACACGAAAGATGAATCCCTTATGAAGGAACAATGAGTGTGCACAGGAATGTCAGAGGCGCTCCCGGCTGCCCTCTTGCCGCGACCTGGTTTTCCCATGTGGGTGAAGCCGATGACAGGAGGCCACAGCCAGAGTAAAGGAGGGAAAACAGAGATTATACAGACATCTAGTTAATCTGCGGGAACTACTACTGGAGTTATCTGACGAGAGCGAGGCCTAATGTTAGACAAAGAGCTCTTTTCAGACACCTGTTTCCCGTCGAAACCCAGGCGGAGAGGGAGAAACGGGGGAAAGCAGCCACCAAAAACACGATTCAAACGCATCTTTTAGCAAACGGATCGATATGATCGGGTCTGGGGGGGGAAAATACTCATGCAGCCATTCAACAAGTGCCACAAAGACTGCAGGGGAAATCGATAAAATGCATCAACATCATCGCCACGGTCAACTCCAATAAATGTGCCTGGCATCACTGAGACAGTTCAAGCTAACTTTATTTTGAAACATCAATGAGGCCGCACGTTCAAAAACAAGGCCAATGCCAAGTCAAGTGTATGCGTGCTCATTAAATTCAAATCCCCGTGAGGTGCCGTTAGAGACGCTGAGGGCAAATAAAGAGACAACAATGCCTACCTGGTTTATTTCTTCCAATTTTTGCCTCTGCTGCTCCTTTAACAGTCCAAAGGCTTTCCCTCCTGCAAAAGGAAAATCACGTTATTTAGATAGCAAGCTGGTTAATATCGACAAGAGGCTCCGCTGTGGACGGTAGCCGGGGTCGGCCTGCTGATGCTCTATTGTAAAGAAGCTTTAGCTAGCGATAGGCATAACGCTGTTGTATTATTCTTTACCTTGGATATTTTTATTTGAAGGCATCCCGGAATTTATCTGTGGTGTACAAATCCAGTAAATGAGGAATATCCGAGCCAGAGGGCTACCGCAACTGTCCGCCGGGGCGATACTCCTATTCTCCGTTAGAGATTGGGCTCAGTGGGCCACTCGGCAATGTTCGGGCACTGCTGTCAACACCGTCGGGCTTAGTTAAGGGACATCCGGTCAAACCTTTCAAAATAAACCCTTGACCCCCTTTTCACAAATAAGGTAAAATTGAGTTTATTCATCGCACACTGGGCACGTTCACACGTTACAGCACCTCCAAATAAAATACGGCAGATACACATTGAAGCACAAAATTAAATATAAAAAAAATAAAGATATAATAAAAAAAAAAGCTCCAGATAGAACACAGCAAATAAGAATAAAAGAAATACACATTAAATAAAATAGAATTAAAAAATACTAGACATAATGAAAAATAGAAACAATTGAATTAGAGTTGTATGTGAACTATATACAGATTCTTTACAGATGAGATTTTTATAGAATATGGCACAGGTTACAGCAGGAGGTCGTGGCATGGGGTAAAAATAATAAATAATTAATAAGACAGTGGTTCCCAACCTTTTTCCCTAAGGGAAATCATTCATTGACTAAACTGACAAGTGACATATCTTGTGTTTTTTTCTATTATATTCAATGCATAACAATAACATTACAGAACAACCCACAATAACTCCAGGAAGTTTAGGTAAAATAAAAGATTTGGATGAATTTTGAGCTGATATTTTCCTGTGAATATATAAGTCTCAAGTTTTTCTTGCACCCCTTAAAATTAAGAAGGCCCTGCGACCCCCTATGAAACAATTACAAAAACAATTAACAGCAATTAATCTATCATATTTGTTTGATTTATCTATTGATTATTTAGTGAATAAAATGTCAGAATTTGTGAAAAAAAAAAAAAGAAGCCCATTACAGTTTCCTAGAGCCCAGGTTCAGATCTCCAAATAGCTTGTTTGGTCTGACCAACAATCCCAAAACCAAAGACATTCAATTTACAGTGATAGAAAACAAAAAAGAAGAACAGAGAATTGTCAAATCCTCACATTTAACAAGCTGTAACCAGCAAATATTTAGAATTTTTCCTACATAAATGACTTCAACAATCATTCAAGTATTAAAATAGGTGCTGATAAATTTTCCAGTCAGTCTGCAAATTGATTAATTGTTTCAACCCCAGACAAAAATGAGAGGGACTTTTTCTTTAGCAAATAATCTGTTAATGATGTATTTGGATGTGGCTGTTTGTTTAGCAGTGTAGTTTGCACTGACGTAGTTTTGGTTTTAAGATTCTATTGTGTGGTTTTATGTCTGTCTTTTAACGTCTTTGTAAAAGACGAATGCCACTTTAACATATTGCCTCTTGGATTGGCATGTTTAGTAGAACCATGAATAAATCCTGACATTAAATAAAAATGGATTACATGCTGCCACACTGAAATATTCATATTCTCGAGAATGAAATCCCCACAATCCACATCTCACAGAAATCTAAACTAGTTATATGCCAATTCCTCTTCAATAGCATGATTTTTTATTCCTGGATTTATCTGAATAATTGGCCTGTAATTTGTGGTTGGATTAGTTTATATGGTATTTATGATGATTTTACATATGTGATGTGTATCGCTGACCACATTCACTGTGTTTTTTTTTATCATATTGCATATTTTGTAGCCTATAATGTGTTTTATGGAGTCACAACTCAATTAGACATACTTTAATCATCCATGTTATCACATAATATAGCATATTTCTGAGCACCACTATATCATAAATATGTTTATCTTTCAGCAATACTTCTCCATATTAGTAGCTCCATGCACATTAACGATGACTTATGGCAGCAACAATGGTTTCTATTGATAAAAAATAAAAAAGGAAAGGAAAAAAGCTCTTATTTTGAAGGCTAAAACCTCAATTTCCGGTATCATTGTGCAGGCTCACTCTACTCATCAGTGAATGATGCTCTTGGAGTAAACTGGGACTTTTACTCGAGTTTACCATCCAGTGGCGTATGAGGAAACTGCACATATGAGGGCGTGACTCAGACAATACCGGCACCAACGCATAAATAGACCCAATCAAATGGTAATATCAATGAATTAAAGGAATTTCAGTGTACAGAAATAGTTTTCAAAACAATACATGTAAGACAACCATACTCAGCTTCCAACAAAATAATGTTAAATAGTGTCTTTGAGCGTGTTTTTCCAACTAGTAGGCCTACAAGTTTAAAACCTGTGATATGATGCCACATGCCACAAAACATAAATTCATCACCATCATATTACACGATTCATATTCTCTTTGTCCAAAGCCTTCTGTCTAATGATTATGATGATGCTATTACTGGGTCTGAATCCATCATGCCCTTAATTGCCTCAGATGAGGCTTTATGCCTCTTAATGTGATGCAGTCATGTCATCTCAGCCTCATAAAGACCTGCTGGCTCATACAACAAAACCATTTAGGGATTAATTTTGTTTTCTGGATGGGTGAGATTTCCAAAGCATTAGGGTTAGGATGAACTCATTCATAATTTCACGACAGTTAGATACACATGCCTGGTCACAAACAAAGCTCAGTTAACAACAGTACTGTGTATCTATCTACATGTACAGAGGGTATTGCAACTTTTACTAAAAGATTTGAGTACTTCTTCCCCCACTGTTTACCAGTGAAAACGTAGTGAATTTGTGTTGGTATAATTGGAGGTAGTTTGTCACCCCCTTGTTGCCATTTATTGTAAAAGCCTTAATTGGTGTTGCATTCACGGAGAGCATGCATTTCATCATTTCTCTTTATTTGGTGAAATTTGGGTTACATATAAATACTGCAGAGTTATATTATCTGCTTTGCATTCTTATTATTTTTTAGGCCTGTTGAATTCTTCTGTATTGTATTCAACAAATTAAGCGAATCAAGAGCTAATCCATCATTAGTGGTAGAGGAAATTATTCAGGTCCTTAACTGAAAGGACCAGTGTGAAATATTTAGTGGTATCTAGTGGCATCTAACTGAATAACTGCTCTCCTACCAAGCGTGTATCTAGAGCCAGTGTTTGGTTTGTCCTTTCTGGGCTACTGTAGAAACATGGTGGTACAACATGGCAGCCTCTGTGTATGAGGACCCTGTAGATAAAAATGTCTCATTGAAAGTTAACAAAAACCGGACAATTCAGTTTTTTTAATTTTAGATTATACAGTAATGGAAATTTAAGTAAAAATACTACAACCAAACTGTACAAATAAATGTCACAAGTAAAAGGCAAGCATTGAAAATGTCATTTAAGTAAATATAATCAAATGTAATTGTACTGTACTAGTATACATGCAAAAGAATGTCTCCTGTGACTGTTATACTATATATATATATATATATATATATATATATATATATATTAGATTATTATTACTCAAGCATGAATATAAAAGCAGGATTTTACTGTTGTAGTTGATTGAAGTGGAGCTATTTTGTATAGGACTGTAACTAATGATTATTTTCATTATGGATTAATCTGCTGACTATTTTTTTCCATTAATCCGTTGATTGTTTGGTTTGTTTAAAATTGATTTGAACAGAATTCCCCATAGCCCAACATGGCACCATCACAATACTTGTTTTGTCCAATCCTTAAAATAAATTAAAGTTATCAAAACAATTAAGAGGTGGTGTTTGTGCATTTTTATGTTTTTTTTTTTTTTTTGCAAAAATCTTAATTGCAAAGTAACAGTAAAGCTGTCAGATAAATGTAGAGGAGTAAAATGGACAATATTTCCCTCTTACATGTAGTGGAGTAGAAGTGTAAAGTGGCATGAAAAAACTCAAGTACAGTACTCGAGCAAATGTACTTATTACATTCCACCATTAATTATCATATACAGTATGCCACCTGTCTGTCTGGAAAGAAGCTCAAAGATACATTTAGACCTGTCCAAGTGTATCTTTGAGCTTCTTTCCAGAGCACATTAAGAAACCACTGCACATACTTGATGAGCCTTTTTTGGGTTTATTGGATTTTTTTCCCCCCTAATAGGGCTCTTAGCGACATTGTCTTTGGGGATGTCGTGTTCATTAATTGTTTAATAATGTAGGCATTGTGAAAGCCTTTTAGAGTGTAACTGTGGGCCATTCTGTCCTATAAACCCTTTTCAGATAAGCTTGACTTGCCACTGCTAATTGACATTTTAGGGGCATACGTGTTATATTTTAAGGCGAAACACTGAAGTGGCAGAGTCTCACCTGATTAATTAGATGGCAGTAATTTACAGATGATAATTCAGGAATAAGGCCCGCACATCCCAACATCACTATTAACATTTAGCAGCTTCAAATCTAGAGAAAAGGAATTTCTGTAAATGGTTTTGCTTCTGTGAATACACACACTGAATAATAAGCTAGCTGAGGGCAAGGCCTTTATCAGGATTCAGCACATTTCAGAATTTATTTCTTCACTTCAAATAAGACTATACAGAAACACAACAGACCTGCCTTTAGAAAGCAGAAACATATTGTACAATCAGTAGTCATGCCTGTATGTGATTATGATGGCATTTTTATTCACATGCTACATTTTATACTCTGTAAGAAAACAGGCACAGAGTCATATCTTTTGTCACCAAGGCTGCACAACAAAAAGCAACATTTACATAAATGGCAAAACGTGCTTTGAGTGTTTTATAGGAGTATATTTGAAAGCCAGTTTATTCAGTTTACCACAGTGCCTTTTCGTTTATTACAGGAGACATTTCTTTACACTCACCAATCTGATTTACATGAAAAGGTCTACTGCTCTTCCTTTATAACAGCTAGAGAAACTAGACTCCATCATATTAATATATGAGACTCAGCTGAAGCTACTCTTGGAGCTTACATCTACTGTTTTTTACACTCATTAATTCAGTGCTAGATCATAGGGCTGCTTGGTTTTTAAATAAATTATGACCTTGGCAAGACCACAGTCCGGTACTAAATTGGACAGACTGCAAGGCACTTTCAAAATGTAATATGTTGCCCTCCCAGTGATTTTCATGCTGTCTCATATTTCTGTTGATGTTCAGAAATAGGTGGCCCACACATGTTTTCTCTTCGGATGTTTTGTTGTGCATGTAGCTGATATTTT